GTCCAGTTGGACCCCTTGTTCCCTTCACGCGTTGGGCCTGATTTGCATTTAACATAATTCTACATGTGGGAAGCAGATGAATACCGATCTCTTTGCTACGTGTAAAAATGTATAGGAGACAAAGTCACTAAATTTCGGAAAGTTGTGCCCAGTAGTTATTGCAAAACATTATAAAACATGTGCATGGGGGCCACGGAGACCCCACGTGCACTGACAAGGGATAATTTCTAACTCATCTGTATAAATTAAATGTTTGCAGTTACCTGAACTCCGATTACAAAACTACAGAAATAATTAAATTAAAAAAAATAACGCCCTAAATAATCGCCATACTTGTTTTCAAGTTGTAGAACAATCATAGCGATTTTTTTAATCGGAGTTCAGCTTTAATAAGAATTTATTTAGCGATAGGACGTCATCTATATAGGTCATGTGGTGCGATTAAATAATCCTGCGAGTTTGTTTGCCAACTAAACAGGAAACCCGGACGGTATGATTTAACACCCACCCCATCCAAGAAAGAAAGTTAAAAACATTAACGTCATTGTGCATAACCCTAACATGATTTCAACCTTTAATTTCGTTGTATATCCTAGGAACATTAATTGAAGTCGTTCATCGTCGTTACGGATTTGATGTAATTACTTAGAAGCTTTTTTAAAAAAATGTTTTACAGGACAAGGATAACAATGAATGATATTTTATGTTTCGTTTTATTACTTCAAGGTATATAATATACTCTTTCACTTTCGCGTTACATTATTTAAAAGGGAATATTTCTACATAGACTGCTTTCTAATAGTAAAATTATATGTATTCTTGTATTCGGTCTTTCCTTTTAATAAACAGGAATCGTATACGGTTGCTTAGTATTAATGAGTTTTCCGTTTGTAGTAGGATTCCTGTAATCTCTTTAAATTGATGTAAATAGTACAGAAAATCCTAATGTTATCAAACCCAGTAATTGCAGACAGCATAAGACAAGCACTTAATATATATTACATACTCCAAATGAATAAATATGTTATTACATTAAAAATAAATAATTAGCCGGAAATCTCTTTTAAAGAGCAATGTCTCGTGCGGTAGTCACTCACAACCTTCCGTTTGACACCGAGTCTGATCTTAAAATCCGAGACAAGATCTTCGAACCCTAACTCTGGCTCCTTTTAATGGATCAAGTCTTTAATCAATAATATTTACTTCTCACTAATATAACTGCGTTAATTTATAGTAGTAATTACAAAGGTTTGACATTACTGGCAACAGTTCAGATAGGTCTAGACCATATAAATAATGTACACGTTATTCTCATTTTAAAGTCATGTAGCCTATTTGACTTACTGTTGTTTAAACCGACAGGATGAACAGTCGCCTTAAGAAAACCCATCCCGTGTAATTTGATCGATTCGTTGAAAAAATCTAAGAACCACAATGCGCCAATTTGTAATGTTTTGTTTCTACTTGAGTACCACAAACCTCAAAGCATTCAGAATCATTTGTCACAACAACAACAGCTAACGTAGGCTAATATTAAAACTATGTAATGTAAAAGTGGGTATTACACACCTGTGACTTTTGAATTGATATGACATATGCATAATCTTAAACAATCTTAACAATAAGCTAAAGCAACCCATGCAGGCCAATTTCATCTTGTTTTCGCCTTCAAGCAATGTTGAATAAGGTCATATCCGTATACTAAGCAAAATATCTTTTTTATGTTTCGCTCCTTGTCGTAAATAGGGAGCATGTGAAATGTGTTTAATTTACCAGAGCCGGTCACAAATCAGACTGGTAAATAAAACAAACCACTTGCATTCATGAAATCTTGTTTATATGTGTATGCACGGTCACTCAAACACTTAATATGTGTATAAATTAAAGGTGTATGTACAGTAACTCAAACACTTAATATGTGTATAAATTAAAGGTATTGTTTTGAAGATATTAGCTATTCCACGGTGTGTTAGGGTAGTCAGTGCGTCACAGCACAAATCGTATTTGATCTCGGTTGTACATCACAAACGTATTCAAATAACTGACATTTATTAGAAATACACTTGTAATTTTATTAATTGGGCATACAATTATATATATTTTTTTGTCGCTCATTAGGAAAGGGTTAAGGTTAGATTAAATAATCCTGCAAGTTTGTTTGCCAACTAAACAGGAAACCTGGACGGTATGATTTAACACCCACACACACCAAGAAGAAAGCTAAAGACTATAAGGTCATTGTGTATAACCCTAACACGATTTCAACCTTTAATTTCGTTGTGTATCATAGGAACATTAATTGAATTCGTTCATCGTCGTTACTTATTTGATGTAATTAATTAGAAGCTTTAAAAAACTGTTTTACAGGATAAGGATATTTTATGTTTCGTGTTATTACTTCAAGGCATATAATATACTCCTTCACTTCCGCGTTACATTATTTAAAAGGGAATATTTCTAAAAGTAAAATTATATGTATTCTTGTATTCAGTCTTTCCTTTTAATAAACAGGAAGCGTATACGGTTGCTTAGTATTAAAGGACAATATTGGTGCCAGTCATTATCACATATGTGATAGAACTGGTTAAACACGTTCCAAAAACTATTTTTTCACAGAGATCATTGCTACGATAGATGAGTAATCAATGTTTCAACAATAGGAAGTGACGAACACAAAAGGAAAACACGAGTTATCCCTCTATAAAACTGGCTGAAGTGACGCGTGATAACACATACATGGGCGAATTTCTACTCACTAAAAATTCGTTCGAAGATCAAAAGTTGTTATATGAGACTGTGAGAGGATATCTGACAATTCAAAAAAGTAATTGAATGTCATTAGATAAGAGAACACGAGAAAAATAGAAACAGTCCGTACATTCACTGGTGTTTATTCATTCTATACTTATAAAAACATGGTAATGCACGGACTTTTTCTATTTTTCTTTCATGTTCTCTTATCTAATGACAGTCAATTTTGTTTTGAATTGTCAGATATCCTTTCACAGTCCCATACAACAACTTTTGGTCTTCGAAGGAATTATTAGTGAGCAGAAATTCGCCCATGTATCTGTTATCACCCGTCACTTCAGCCAGTTTTATAGAGGGATAACTCGTGTTTTCCTTTTGCGTTCGTCACTTCCTATTGTTGAAACATTAATTACTCATCTATCGTAGCAATGATCTCTGTGAAAAAAAATATTTGGAACGTGTTTAACCAGTTCTATCACATATGTGATAATGACTGGCACCAATATTGTCCTTTAATGAGTTTTCCGTTTGTAGTAGGATTCCTGTAATCTCTTTAAATTGATGTAAATAGTACAGAAAATCCTAATGTGATCAAACTCACAACCTTGTGTTTGACCCCGGTTCTGATCTTAAAATCCGAGACAAGATCTTCCAACCCCAACTCTGGCTCCTTTTGGATCAAGTCTTTAATCAATAATATTTACTTCTCACTAATATAACTGCGTTAATTTATGGCAGTAATTACAAAGGTTGGTGAAGATATTTATAGAATTGACGTTCGAGAGACATGTGGGATTAATTATTTGTTTAATTAGATCATAGCCAGTTCGTGCTTTAACAGAAGTATATACAGAGTTGAAAAGTCTATAGCATCTATTATCAAAATTAGCTGGGGTCAATAAGTTCACACAATCTAAATAATAGTTCGTATTTTATAAAATAGAAAATTAAGCACTTTGTCACATTCATATCCCACCCACGAGTTATTTACTAAAGTATAAAAGCCAAAATATGTGTTCAAGAACAAACAATTATAATTTACATTCTTTTAAAAACAAAATGAATAATCTTTAAAACAAAAATAACACAAAATAATTTGTTTCGCGATGTACCACCGCCATTGATCTGAAAGTCTTTTGCAGTTTTTGGTAATTGTCCGGTTTATTTTTGAATTGCGAATTTCCATATCATCGAACTGTGTATCTCCAATCATTGGCCCGTGATCATCGTAAAGGACTTCACGTTGTTGTGACAATTATTTTCAGGTTCAAAGTCACGGCATTCATAACTGATCCTGCAGGTACTCATTTCCTATGGAAGTCGAGTCTGCCAAGTACGGTTTCACAGATAAACGTTTCAGTCTTGCATATTTTTTTTTCACCAACTTATCGGATGTCTAGCGGCGAAAACTCTTTTGTCTGCTACGCAGGATTTTCCTCATTATCACGGGAACACACCCAGGGTTCTCGTTGGTCGATGGCACCATAACAGATCACTGTAACACTATTTTGGAACATTTACCCTACTGTGTTCAATATGCCTCGAGTCTATTGAATATTAAAACGTTTCTTAATTGACTTAGAGAATTTAGTTTTAGACTACCTGTTATTTTTATACATTTCACCTATGTGGTTACTTGTATAGTTAAATTTTACTACAATATGCTTACATTCATATTTCTTCATTCTTGATTGTTTTCAAATTTGAGTAAAGCCGCCTGCGTCATTACAGGCCCGGGACTATACAGCGCAGAGGACGCTTACGGCTAGTCCTGGATCCAGTCACTTTATTTGAATTGTACGTTTGTTTGTGATTTCTGCGTAATACGTCTTGTCCGTATATTTGTTTTTTTGTGTAAATTATGTGTGGTGCAGTCCCCCTGCAATTACTATTAGTGATAACAGATAACAGTTTAGTAAATATATGATATATTTACATCAGGTATATAAAACTTCTATATAAATACAACAGGAACATAATTATATTAAACAGAAACTAAACTACGACAGAAACACATCAGGACGGTACACAACTATATTAAATCCACCATTCCGCCCCTCCGCCAAGGCAGCGGCAGAACTCGGGTGAGTTCATGCACTCGCCTAAGCCTCTCTTCTGTCTAACTGTCAGCAAACTCCTAGTTATATATATTGCAGACCTACCCTTTCCATCACCTGCAATGGTGTGGTAAAGTTGATAGATTGAACCTGCTTAGTTCGGGAAAATAGATTTCTTGATTGACAACACGATAAGGTTTAAATAAGTTTATATAATCCACAAACGACACATGATACAGTTTAAAACAATTAAATGAAACGCGTAAGCGCGTAGTCGATGTTGGTCGATCTAGATGTATTTCAATTCACCATAACCATTAAACACCATTTCTGTTGGTACTACACATAACTATAACACAAAATACATTTATGCTCGACAAGTTGGCCCTGAAAATACAATAGTTGCCATTATCCATATATTCGTAACCAACAGTTCTATTGGCTACACATCCTACAATTTTTACCTTACAGTATTTGAATTACATATATAATTATATATCAAACACTCATGAAACTCACAGTCCACTTGCAGTCATCTATTACAAGAAAGTTAAATTAAATAGCTTACCCATTTGTGGAAAAGAGCCGGTATTGACCTTCACTAAATCTGTAACATGTGGTACTGATGCATGCGTGTAATTTAGTTTTATCCCAGCTAAACTTCTGAATAACCAACCAGGACAAAGAATTACTAATCACCTGATAAACAATATTTCAGAAAGAGACCACCTTCAGAACTATAAAGAGTCCAACGAGTTATCCTTTCAACTATACCAAAAAATATTAAAAGTAAACCCATATAAGAACTAAGACATTTCAACCACTAAAATAAAACACCATAATCCGGACAATACAATTCCAGACCCATACAACTGAAAATCCATCCCCCAAAACATTTTAATGAATTTACATTATCTCACAACCAAAACTATAAACTCACTTATTAAAAACTTCCAACAATCAAGACACTGATCAGGACATTCTTCACCAACATTAATTGACAGAGTCCCAAAATATGACCCTGTTACATACTTCCCCCCACCGTAAAAATGACGTCCCGTCATTTACTTACCAGTAATTAACGACAACAATGCCGTACTAACCTCTGGAGCCATTTTGCTTAAAGAACCTGAAAGATGTAATGAATGAATATAGTTAGCTTTCTCATACCAATCTGACGGATTATTAATTTGAGCCATAACAAAATCACCACTCTGCATCCATTGAGGTTGGTTACATGTTCGGCGAGGTCTTGTTTCAATAGATACATCTGCCGGTAGAGGACTTGGATTATTATCTACGGCGTCACCTGAAACATTAACTTCAATTGATTTTACCTCAGTATTTTCATTACTTACAGATGCGTCATTAGATGCCCCATGAAATATCTCGGTATTGTGATCCCCCTCAACAATATCCTCGATAATTTCATGATCACCTTCCCCTCCTCCCGTAAGAATAACCTCCGGGTAATTCTCATTTACAGGATCATTGGCTTCCACATAACTAAATTCTTCATCAGAACTTGAATCTAATTCAACACATTTTTCCGCAGCTACTTTAGACTCAATTACTATTTTTCGCTTTCTCGGTTTTGGAGTCGGAAAATACACGGGTTCAACGCTATTGATTGATAACAAATTATTTCGATGTAAAGTACGCGATCGTCCACGCCCAGACTCTGGTCTGACCACAAAAACAGGAATTTCCAAATTAGGTTGATCCTCAACAATGTAAACGCCAGGTTCCCATCGATCAGCTAATTTGTGTTTTCCCTGAAACGCTAAAGTACGTACTAAAACACGATCACCAATATCAAGACGAATACCTTTAACTTTCCGATCATATTTTGTCTTCTGTTTTTCTTTACAATTCTCTGATGATTTAATCGCTAATTCATAAGAACGTTGTAACCGTTCCTTTAACGCTTTTACATACGAATGTAATGACACATTAGACACTTCTCGACTCACTCCAAACGCTAAATCTATTGGAAGACGAGGGTGGCGTCCAAACATTAAATAGAAAGGTGAAAATCCAGTGGTTTCATGTCGTGTGCAATTATATGCATGTACAAGAGGTGCTACTTGTATTTTCCAATCATTTTTCTTCTCCGGCGTAAGTGTACCCAGCATATTCAAAAGTGTCCGATTAAATCTTTCACACTGCCCATTACCCATCGGGTGATAAGCTGTGGTGCGGGATTTATCCATACCTACTAAACTACATAATTCTTTAATAATTTTACTCTCAAAATTAGCTCCTTGATCAGAATGTATCCGACTTGGTAAACCATAATGAACTATAAAATTATTGAAAAATACTTCAGCCGTTGTGCGAGCTGTCATATTCCGTGTAGGTATTGCTTGAGCATATTTTGTGAACAGATCTGTAATAACTAGAATATACTGATAATTACCTTTAGATGGTTCTAGTGTTAGAAAATCCATCGCAACAACTTCAAGGGGGTGAGTAGTTTCTATATTCACCAAAGGGGCTCGGATATTTGTAGGAGATTTTCGTCTCAAACAACGTTCACAATTCTTGATCCAAAGTTCAACATCACTTGCCATACCAGGCCAATAAAATCGTTCCCTCATTAATACCATAGTTCTATCTCTACCCATGTGACCAAGATCATCGTGAAGAGCCTGAAATGCTAATTTCCTATAATGACCTGGAAGTACGAGTTGTTCAATTATCTCCCCTTCATGTTCCACAGATCGATATAAAACTCCCTGTTTCAGCTTTAAGTGTTCTAAACGACGACATAATACTTGGACCTCTTTGTTGAACTCCTTGTCAAATGGCTTTATTCCCGACCTTAAATATTTAAGAATAGACAATATAGAGGCATCTTTTGCTTGTTCCTTTCTCCAATCACGTGGTGTCATACCATTTAGACCTAAATTTACCTCCGGCACTAATTCTGGTGATATACTTAAACATTCGGCATAATTACTCGGCTGAATAGAATTACAAATTACATGTACCTGTTCATGCGAAATATATTCCGATTCTTTATGTAATCTTGACAATAAATCGGCGTCCAAATTATTTTTCCCGGGTCTGTATTTTATTTCAAAATCATACGCAGAAAGAGCGGCGAGCCATCTATGACCTGTTGCATCTAATTTAGCGGAAGTCAAAATATAGGTTAATGGATTATTGTCGGTATACACCACAAACTTGTTCCCATACAAATAATCATGAAACTTTTCTGTAACGGCCCATTTTAACCCTAAAAATTCCAATTTATGAGCAGAATAATTTTGTTCCGATTTATTCACACTTCTGCTCGCGTAAGCCACAACTTTCAATAAATTATCTCGTTTCTGATAAAGAACTGCACCCAGACCAGTTTGACAAGCGTCAATATGTAAAACGAATGGTAACGTATAGTCACAGCTTGTAAGAATTGGAGAACTACACAAATGATCCTTTAATTCACAGAATGCATTTTCCTGCTCAATATCCCACTTCCACTTGACGGAAACATTACTTTTATTTTTCTTACCCGTTGTGGGCATCAAAATAGATAAAGGTTTTGATATTTTCGAAAAATCTTTCACAAAACGACGATAATAACCAGCAAATCCAAGAAATTTTCTTACCTCGACAGAATTCAATGGGCGTGGCCATTTTTGGATCACCTCAATTTTCTCTGGATCTGGTTCAATACCCGCTTCGGAGATAACATGTCCAACATAGTTTACACGTCTTTTAAAGAAACTACATTTATCAGGTGCTAATTTTAAATTACACTGACGTAAACGCTCTAAAACCTTATTTAAGCGCTGTAGATGCTCCTCGAATGAATCTGCAAAAATAATCAAATCATCAATATACACTACACATATCGTCAAATGAAGATCTCCTAAGCAATCTTCTAAAAGCCTCTGAAACGTCGCGGGAGAATTACAAAGACCAAAAGGAAGTCTGTTATACTCATAAAAACCAAGCGGACCAATTGTGAAAGCGGTACGCTCCTTATGTTCTTCGGCAACTTCGACCTGGTAATATCCGGACTTCATATCTAACTTTGAATAAAATTTGTTACCTGCTAAATGATCCAATAACTCATCAATTCTGGGAAGAGCGTACGAATCCTTGATCGTTCTATTATTCAATTGTCTGAAATCAGTGCACATGCGTAATTTACCGTTCTTTCTACGACAAAGTACCACGTTTGATGCCCATGGACTATGTGAATTTCTTATAACACCACATGCTAACAACTGCTTTAAATGATCTTTTACTTCAGTAAACATCGATGGAGGTATACGGCGGTGCCGTTGCTTAAACGGTTGTTCATCTATAAGTTCAATTCTGTGTTGTACTCTGGATGTATGTCCCAAGTCCAGATCATTATGTGCGAAAATATCGTCAAAACTTAACAACAGGTTCTTACCTTGAATTATCTCTTCCTCTGATAAATCGCTTTCGTCAATTTCTACTTTATTTAAGACCGAGGCATTGGATCCATCTGAAGTAACTTCGTTATCTTCAATATTTACCGGCTGTAGTTCACACACAATAGCTTTGGGTGAAATAACAATAGTATTTGTAGACACATTTGAAACGTTAACTGAAATATAATCTGTATTATTGTAATCATACATCATTATGGATGGAGAAACATCTAAATCAGATGAAATACTGGAACGTTGACATGGGTGTACCATCACCGACACCTTCGGGTATCGTAACTTTTTATCAACATAACATGGTAACGTTATACGAGAATTTGGACGAACTAGTATCCTATTGACTGAGGCACTTTTCACTATTCCTAAACTGAAATCTCGTTTGACTAATTCTTTTTCTGATAAATCCATACTACGAAAAGATAAATACCAAGAAGTGGTTAATTTCGCTTTTTGGAGAAAAGATTTCCCATGTTCATCTTTACATTGTTTCATCAGAAGAGTCAATACATTTGTTCCAAGTAAAACCGGAACCAATGAATTATATCTACTCACCGGAACTACTAATAAAATACAAGTTATTGTTTCATCTGTCAATTCTGAAAACTGTAAATCTGCTTCAATATATCCTTTATACGGCAATGGTTTACCATCAGCACATTCTATATCCAACATAGTTTTAAGCGGTTGTAAAGGTAAATGTTTTAATTTAGAATTATATAACTCTTCACTTACAGTAGACACAGTTGATCCAGTATCTAAAAGTGCAGTACAACAATTTCCCTCAACTTTAACATTGGCTTCATTAGGTTCACCAACTACAAAATTCGATTTCAACGTCGCTCTGGGAAGTCTCTGCGTGGAGTACCCCAGGGCGCTTCCCTTGGCCTGAGGTTGTGAACGTTTAAAGAACGATTCTGGTTAAATGCTGCTCTGCAACCCAACCTAATATGACCGTACTGACCACAAGCCCAACACTTGGGTCCCGGTCCTTGACTACTACGCCGATTATCCCGGTTATTACTACTAAAATTATTTGACATCTCACCTCTTGAATCATTTCCTTGTGACTGCCATCGTGGAACCTTAGGTCTGTCAACTTTATAAGCTAATTGCGAAACTTGATCCTTCAATCCACTAACTTGTGAAGAAATACTGTGAACTATCCCTTTAAGTTCCTGAAATTCAGAATTAGAAGACTTTGTATGTATCATGTTAAAAGGATTTGGCTTCGAAGTAGCGGTACTCGCTGATAAGTTTCGTTGGTTAACATCATGCTCTATACGGCGAAGTTGAACACGTAGTGTGTCGAAACTTGTTGATTTATCATATTTGTGAGCAGACAAATCACGTAAGTGTGGCAACAATCCACGCCAAAATACATTCCTTAATGTCTCATCGGATTCTTTAGGATCTGGACTACCCTCTCGAGTTACTCTTGCGAATATATCTTCTAACCGGCATGCCCAATCTGTAACCGTTTCAGATGGATATTGTTTAGCACTGTAAAAGAGTCCGATTAAAGATTCTGCTTCTTCACATGTACCGTAAACACTATGCAATTTGGCTAAGACAGTTTTAACATCAACATGCGGACCTAACCGCATTATAACCTTACCGGCCTCCCCTTTAAGTGATCGGCGAATAGCCAACAGTATTACATGGTTATCATATACACCTTCTGAAATTAAACAATCTACTTCGTATCTCCAAAGGTCGTAACTAACTTCACCTTTTCCTGGTTCACCATAAAACATTGACAACTTCGGCATCGGATTAACTGGTGGTCTTGATTTAGTAGACGACTCTGTTTCATCATCCGATTTAACCGGCCACTTACCTTTAGATTTCAAAACATCTTCCATCCACTCAGCAACGTCATCTTCAGTCTTACCTATACGCTTTGGAAAAAGACCCAACTTTCTTAGTGTGTTACCCAAGACCACAACTTCTTCCTCCGACATATTCAAACCAATCAACTGACCAAACTACTCTAAACTCTACATAAAAAAAACTCCACTGTTGATAAAATAAAGACAATACAAGTTATAGTGTTACTGGGATAACTGTTATATATTTTAGTATAATGCAATGTGTATTGAATGATGTTCTAAGAGTATCAATAGTTACGGAATTTTATGCCCTAACTTATTTAAACTTGACCTATTTATTTATTAGTGCTGTCAACATCCATACTTACAACCATACATACCAGGTTTACCGACACTAAAAATAAATGAAAACAAACAAATTAACACTAAATTAATCAAATTAACACTAAATTAATCAATAGTTCATAATATTAATGTTCAATATTCACTGTTACACAGTTCCAATCTTCATCCAGAATCTGTTATAATTTCAGTTCCAGTGGTTAAACACTGTCACAAAGTCACGAGAATTCAAGCTTGATGATAATGTGCATATAAATTTGAATGTCAGTAATTAAACGCCATCGGATTCACTTTAAAGTCTAACGATAAGTTAATTGAAAACTAAACAGTTCAACTTGTTACTGGTACAACCAAGAAAATCTACTCCTCCCTGGGGGCTCCATTATTGCAGACCTACCCTTTCCATCACCTGCAATGGTGTGGTAAAGTTGATAGATTGAACCTGTTTAGTTCGGGAAAATAGATTTCTTGATTGACAACACGATAAGGTTTAAATAAGTTTATATAATCCACAAACGACACATGATACAGTTTCAAACAATTAAATGAAACGCGTAAGCGCGTAGTCGATGTTGGTCGATCTAGATGTATTTCAATTCACCATAACCATTAAACACCATTTCTGTTGGTACTACACATAACTATAACACAAAATACATTTATGCTCGACAAGTTGGCCCTGAAAATACAATAGTTGCCATTATCCATATATTCGTAACCAACAGTTCTATTGGCTACACATCCTACAATTTTTACCTTACAGTATTTGAATTACATATATAATTATATATCAAACACTCATGAAACTCACAGTCCACTTGCAGTCATCTATTACAAGAAAGTTAAATTAAATAGCTTACCCATTTGTGGAAAAGAGCCGGTATTGACCTTCACTAAATCTGTAACATGTGGTACTGATGCATGCGTGTAATTTAGTTTTATCCCAGCTAAACTTCTGAATAACCAACCAGGACAAAGAATTACTAATCACCTGATAAACAATATTTCAGAAAGAGACCACCTTCAGAACTATAAAGAGTCCAACGAGTTATCCTTTCAACTATACCAAAAAATATTAAAAGTAAACCCATATAAGAACTAAGACATTTCAACCACTAAAATAAAACACCATAATCCGGACAATACAATTCCAGACCCATACAACTGAAAATCCATCCCCCAAAACATTTTAATGAATTTACATTATCTCACAACCAAAACTATAAACTCACTTATTAAAAACTTCCAACAATCAAGACACTGATCAGGACATTCTTCACCAACATTAATTGACAGAGTCCCAAAATATGACCCTGTTACATATAGCCTCCGACAAAATGGATAAGAGTCATCATCATATATGGTATTGTTTATTTATCAGATTATGGCATCTGTAATTGCATTGTTTATTTCCTTTGAAGTAATTATCAGGTCAGGGTATGATGCACTGACCACTGCATTTTCCTTTGAAGTCATGCCGAATGTTGCACATAGATCATGTGTAGCTTGTAAAGGACATTACGTGTTTAATTAGATCATAGCCAGTTCGTGCCTTAACAGAAGTATATACAGAGTTGAAAAATCTATATCATCTATTATCAAAACATGCTGGGGTCAATAAGTTCACAGAATCTAAATAATAGTTCGTATTTTATAAAATAGAAAATTAAGCGCTTTGTCACACTTGTAGCAAAGACAATCGAAACTTCACTGTTTTTCAAACGGTCATAACTCCGCCCAGAATGAAGTAATTTGGTTGAAATTTTCAACATATCCCCTTTGCATATCTATGTTTTAACTATTATTGCGAGAATGGTCAGCACCTTATCGAAATCTTACATAATGCATCTTTAACCTTTTCAACAATAGTAACACCAATATAAATAAAGTAAATTATAAATTATAAAGTAAATAAAAAAAAAATATTTGGAACGTGTTTAACCAGTTCTATCACATATGTGATAATGACTGGCACCAATATTGTCCTTTAATGAGTTTTCCGTTTGTAGTAGGATTCCTGTAATCTCTTTAAATTGATGTAAATAGTACAGAAAATCCTAATGTGATCAAACTCACAACCTTGTGTTTGACCCCGGTTCTGATCTTAAAATCCGAGACAAGATCTTCCAACCCCAACTCTGGCTCCTTTTGGATCAAGTCTTTAATCAATAATATTTACTTCTCACTAATATAACTGCGTTAATTTATGGCAGTAATTACAAAGGTTGGTGAAGATATTTATAGAATTGACGTTCGAGAGACATGTGGGATTAATTATTTGTTTAATTAGATCATAGCCAGTTCGTGCTTTAACAGAAGTATATACAGAGTTGAAAAGTCTATAGCATCTATTATCAAAATTAGCTGGGGTCAATAAGTTCACACAATCTAAATAATAGTTCGTATTTTATAAAATAGAAAATTAAGCACTTTGTCACATTCATATCCCACCCACGAGTTATTTACTAAAGTATAAAAGCCAAAATATGTGTTCAAGAACAAACAATTATAATTTACATTCTTTTAAAAACAAAATGAATAATCTTTAAAACAAAAATAACACAAAATAATTTGTTTCGCGATGTACCACCGCCATTGATCTGAAAGTCTTTTGCAGTTTTTGGTAATTGTCCGGTTTATTTTTGAATTGCGAATTTCCATATCATCGAACTGTGTATCTCCAATCATTGGCCCGTGATCATCGTAAAGGACTTCACGTTGTTGTGACAATTATTTTCAGGTTCAAAGTCACGGCATTCATAACTGATCCTGCAGGTACTCATTTCCTATGGAAGTCGAGTCTGCCAAGTACGGTTTCACAGATAAACGTTTCAGTCTTGCATTTTTTTTTTCACCAACTTATCGGATGTCTAGCGGCGAAAACTCTTTTGTCTGCTACGCAGGATTTTCCTCATTATCACGGGAACACACCCAGGGTTCTCGTTGGTCGATGGCACCATAACAGATCACTGTAACACTATTTTGGAACATTTACCCTACTGTGTTCAATATGCCTCGAGTCTATTGAATATTAAAACGTTTCTTAATTGACTTAGAGAATTTAGTTTTAGACTACCTGTTATTTTTATACATTTCACCTATGTGGTTACTTGTATAGTTAAATTTTACTACAATATGCTTACATTCATATTTCTTCATTCTTGATTGTTTTCAAATTTGAGTAAAGCCGCCTGCGTCATTACAGGCCCGGGACTATACAGCGCAGAGGACGCTTACGGCTAGTCCTGGATCCAGTCACTTTATTTGAATTGTACGTTTGTTTGTGATTTCTGCGTAATACGTCTTGTCCGTATATTTGTTTTTTTGTGTAAATTATGTGTGGTGCAGTCCCCCTGCAATTACTATTAGTGATAACAGATAACAGTTTAGTAAATATATGATATATTTACATCAGGTATATAAAACTTCTATATAAATACAACAGGAACATAATTATATTAAACAGAAACTAAACTACGACAGAAACACATCAGGACGGTACACAACTATATTAAATCCACCATTCCGCCCCTCCGCCAAGGCAGCGGCAGAACTCGGGTGAGTTCATGCACTCGCCTAAGCCTCTCTTCTGTCTAACTGTCAGCAAACTCCTAGTTATATAGCCTCCGACAAAATGGATAAGAGTCATCATCATATATGGTATTGTTTATTTATCAGATTATGGCATCTGTAATTGCATTGTTTATTTCCTTTGAAGTAATTATCAGGTCAGGGTATGATGCACTGACCACTGCATTTTCCTTTGAAGTCATGCCGAATGTTGCACATAGATCATGTGTAGCTTGTAAAGGACATTACGTGTTTAATTAGATCATAGCCAGTTCGTGCCTTAACAGAAGTATATACAGAGTTGAAAAATCTATATCATCTATTATCAAAACGTGCTGGGGTCAATAAGTTCACAGAATCTAAATAATAGTTCGTATTTTATAAAATAGAAAATTAAGCGCTTTGTCACACTTGTAGCAAAGACAATCGAAACTTCACTGTTTTTCAAACGGTCATAACTCCGCCCAGAATGAAGTAATTTGGTTGAAATTTTCAACATATCCCCTTTGCATATCTATGTTTTAACTATTATTGCGAGAATGGTCAGCACCTTATCGAAATCTTACATAATGCATCTTTAACCTTTTCAACAATAGTAACACCAATATAAATAAAGTAAATTATATATATTGTATATTTGCAGGGGTACAAGTGGGATAGATATAGATTTAGAGAAAGTTGATATTAATCAGTGTCATGTACCACCAGGTTCTAAAGATGATAATGTATTTGCTGGTTCGGCTAGATGTAAACATGAAACTACCAAGGTACACGTTATTCTTCATTATACGGACTTAGATTAATAGCAAAATGTGCAGCTTCACAACCTCGACGGGCTGTTTACAAACCTTATCGGTGATTTATAACATGTCACTAAACATATGTGAAAGCTTCACATTATTCGTACTGTCAAAATATGTACTGTTCTGCTCACCAGTTTCCACACATAGGGCTTCAACAGCTAACATGTTTTCCTTTCGCGTTAGTATAAAAATGTACAGAAATTAAAAGGTTTTTTTAGGCTGCTTTGTAATTCACCGAAAATCATCTTATTTTATTGTCTCCATTTTTTTCACCTTCATCATCGAAACCTATACAATTCAGGATTGCTGAAGGTTATTTTAAATAACATGGACAACCACTAGCAAAATTAAGAGTTTAGAATCAATATTTACAGTAATTTTGCCTTTGTCGTTGAAACCTTTTAATCGAGTTTTCGAGATATTTTTCAAACTCTATGGTATTGTTTGACTAGTAATAGTACATAAATATTAATTGGCCCAACTGTAAAACAAAAAATCAAATAAACATCTCCAACTCCCGCACTTGTCTTAAAAAACTGAACAAGTTGTATAGCCTATTTGACATAGTATTTTGAAAACTATATCACGTTCGATGTTGTTTCCAATTTTAGCACTCCGTCCAACCATTCAACCGAACGAAGAACGAGTTGTTTATACCAACGTAATGTTCCCGATCAGGCACTCAATCACCAAATTGAGCACGCAGTGGCGACTCCAAACGATGGTTGGCGTTCTTCGATGTTCGTCTTAATAATAGAAATAAGATGAAATAGAATTAAAATTACGCTGAACAAGTAAAGAAATTGGATTATATATTGTCTTAATTTAGAAATTACATAAATAGAAGTTAGGAATTAGACGTTAGACCGTATTAACAAATTTAGAAATTTTTATCTAATACCGCCATAGAAATTATGTGGGCAAGATGTTTAGAGAGTTTATTTTATTTCAATCTTCCTTGGATTGCTTGTCGGATAAACCCTATCGAAATTGATACTCACCATCAGTTAGTCGTAGACTTATTGTCCTTGTCGTCAAAACCTTGTCATGTCTCTCTGGACGT